GTGTGTGTGTGTGTGTGTGTGTGTGTGTTGCATGTACATATATTTTCTAACTTGCATACAGGATTCTACATTATGTGCACTTGATGAAACATTTGAAACCCGGAGTCCTCGTTCGCTTTAGCTGACAAATGGATCTCAAGAGGTGACTTCACTGCTATAAATAGGACAGCCGTAGCGGGGTGCGTATCGCGGTACTGTAAGCCCTATAGTTTCGCTGTGTTTGCTCTGTGACTGAGTCACGATTTTATTCAAGACACGTCACTCTCGACAGCATAATAAGGAGTAGGCCAACGTCAAAGGGGAAAGTTTACAGTATTCCTATCTCTTGACTGTGTAGAGCAGCGTCATGCGGGCCTCGCACTGTGTATATAAACCCTCGCGATGTCCTGCTGAAACGTTATAACCGGTTTCAAACTCGACGCAAGAACAACACTTTTTCAGCTCACCCACCCAGCGGTCGCCCATACTTTGCAGTAGATTTCTAGCCTGCACCTTCAACAATTATTTGCAATTTTCCATCGAGAGATACTCGACCACCACAGAGGAATATAAAAACAATCCCCTCCAAACTGTACGATACCGTCCCCAAGCAAGACTGCATTATTCTCTGTCATTGTAGAAAGACTCCCATACGCAAAAAGAGCACTTATAACTCTACAAGTCCACCATACACCAAACAAAAGCAACTTCGCAACACTAAGCCCAATCTGCAACATACTGTACACCAGCCTGTCCATCCGCAAAACCATTTATAAGCCAAATTATTCAGCAAACAGCTAAGCGGCATATTTCAAAACGCTGGCGAACAGCATTCCTGTCCAAACAACGTCACATTACATGCATAAGCACACATTAGCTCTACACCACCTAGAGGCCTCTCTAAGAAACGAGACGCTCTAACAATAAGAGTTCTTCATACAGACCCACATTCGCGTTCAACAGCACAGCAAATACTTCAACGACACAGTTCAGCCTTCAACCAGTCCCGCTTACGACGACGAGGAGTCCTCCGACCTTTCGGGTTGACCTTTTGTAGTCTACCTACCCACCAGATACCGTGAACTGCGCAGCGACGAAGGCGTTTATCACTGATATCAAAGTGGACACGGAGCTTATACTTATAGAACGAAGAACCAACACAAACAGTAACTGCTGCGCGCATAGATAGACGGAAAACAAGGGACCTTTTACATTCTTAACCCCGCTGAGACCATGGAAATACTCTCCAGTACAAACGATACGAAAACTCCTTTACCTAAATCAACGGTCAAGGAAGTTGACCAGTGGTTGGAACAACTGTTTAAATGTGAGCCTCTTTCGGAAGACTCGATCAAGTCGTTGTGCGAGAGAGGGAAGCAGATTTTTTCCGCAGAGTCGAACGTACAGAATGTCCAGAGTCCAGTGACGATATGTGGGGACATACACGGTCAGTTTTTCGACCTGATGGAGTTGTTTAAGGTCGGTGGAGACCTGCCGGACACCAACTACTTGTTTATGGGGGACTATGTGGATAGAGGCTATCACTCCGTGGAGGTCATTTCGCTTCTTGTGGCACTCAAGGTGAGTAATGTACAAAAATGTCATAGTTTGTTGCAGCAGAGCGCTCTCTCTGTCTCTCTCTGTCTCTGTCTCTGTCTCTGTCTCTGTCTCTGTCTCTCTCTCTGTCTCTCTCTCTCTCTCTCTCGCTCTCTCTCTCTCTCTCTCTCTCTACCTAATTATCTATCTACCTATCTATCTATCTACACATGCTTTACTCTGCTTTTACATCTGAATAATGTTTTGTTACTGTCTGTCTGTCTGTCTGCAATCAACCAGTTCGTCTGTCTAACTTTCTGTCTAATTTTCTGTCTATTTGCATGTATATATTACATATGTGTGTATTTGTATATATGTGTGCGTACCTAGCTATATTCTGTCTGCGAGTGTGTTCCTGTTACGTGCGTCTTCCCGTGGCACAACAGTGCTAACCTGTGACTCGAGTAGATCATCTGATCCGCTGATAACGACAGTTCGAAAACTGGTACATTTCTGGTATGCTTAATTCAGTTACTAAAACAAAGCACTGATCTTACTGTCTGTCACCGATCAGCAAGTGGCTGGCACTCCGCTGTGGCACTCTGCTAGTTCGATTCTCAAGTGGAGAGAATTTGTATACCCAATATCTCAGTCTTTCTGCTGGGTTGTAGGTTAAGTTGTACCCCTCTCAACCCGGGTTGGACCTGATAGGAAGGGTCGAACCCCGCTTCCGAAATGATCTAAGTTGTATCGATGGGGGCGTAAAAACACATGCATTTTGAAACACAAATTAGGGTCCGTGGACATGTAGTCTCTATTGCGTTTGATTCTTTTCAGAAAGTTTGAACATAAGCAACATACAGTCGTGAACATTTTTGTGTTTGTTTGTTAGTGTTGTTTTAATCTGTGCCATAATGGAGAGGATTGTTGTTGTTGTTGTTGTTGTTTTTATTGTTGTTGTTGTTGATAATGATGATGTCATTGTTGCTGGGTTTTCGGGGGGGGGGGGGGGTAAATAATCATTACCTCTGTGGTTAATGTAGAGGTTTACTGTTGTTTTTATACATTGTTTTTCATTCTTCTGTTGTTGTTGCTATTGTCATTCCTCTAGTTACTTCATGTCAGATTTAAAGCTAATTAATTCATCACATTACACACACATGAGCGAGCCATACTAATCTATTACAACTCTCTCAAACCACCAACCAACCAACCAACCAACCATCACATGACCAACCCAGATCCGCTACCCAGAACGTATCACCATCCTACGAGGCAACCACGAGTGTCGGATGAGCACCCAAGTCTACGGCTTCTACGACGAGTGTCTCCGAAAATACGGCAGCGCCACCGTGTGGAAATACTTCACAGACCTCTTCGACTACATGCCCATCACAGCCTTGGTCAACGGTCAAGTTTTCTGCCTGCACGGAGGGTTATCTCCCTCTATAGACAGTCTTGACCACATCCGGGCCTTAGACAGAATCCAGGAGACGCCCCACGAGGGTCCGATGTGTGACCTGTTGTGGTCCGACCCAGAAGACAGAAACGGCTGGGGGATTAACTCGAGAGGTGCTGGCTTCTTCTTCGGAGAGGACGTGTCCGAGGCGTTCAACCACCACAACGGTTTGTCCATGGTCAGTCGAGCCCACCAGGTGGTGATGAGCGGGTATAACTGGTGTCATAATGGTCACGTGGTCACGGTGTTCAGCGCGCCAAATTACTGCTACAGGTCCGGGAATCAGGCAGCCATTATGGAGCTCGATGACGCCTCCAACTACCGTCTGACCCAGTTTGAGCACGCCCCCTCACAAGGACGCGGGAAGGTGTCCAAAATCACACCGGACTACTTCCTATGATTGACACTTTGCCTAGGTTCTCTTTACACCAATTTTAGCCCCCTTTTTAAAAACTCACTTTTTAACATTGAAATGGTTTTTATCTCTATTATTTTTTGTGTTACTCCGCCAATACATTTTACAAGGTCTAGACGGCTTCAAGATGACTCCTTTGGCGGCAAGTTAAAATCCGAATTGACCAATTTTAGTTTTAGTCCATTCACCCATCCTATGTCCAGGGGATATACAGCGGTGCGTCATATTAGACACATATGTCGGTAAATCAAAGAAAATATACGTCATATACAAGACACAATTATTTTGAAGGCGGAGCACTTAAACCGAGCCCTTTATGGAAAAAAAGAGGAAAAAAGAAAAGGCGGGGAGAAGATCTCTGATGATTGCACACCAAAGTGAACGCCACACGACATGTGCACCTAATGCAATAATAATATCATTAAGAATGTTCCACAACTGAAAAGGGGTAAGGGGCGGAAGTGTGTGTGTGTGTGGGGGGTGGGGGGTGCTGCTGCTGTTGCAGGTAAACAGTGGGCTTTTGCTTTTGAATTATAACTTACCCCCGCCCCCTCCCTTCCTCATTTAACATAATTGGATCGAATC